GTTCCCCGCGCCCGTCCCGGGGGCCAGGCCCGGTGGGGGCGATCGTGGGGACCCGCCTGGAGCAAGTGGGGTGGGGGTAGGGTCAGCGGGGGGCTGGTGATGAGGGGGGAATGGGGGGGGACCTGCCGGCCGTGGGGGCCTGGATGATTGACGGGAGGGGGAGGGGAGGAAGCAGCAGCATCACTGTGCTGGTTTTGCTTTTCTTTTCTTTCTTTTCTTTTTTTCTTTGCCAGTCCTGGGGTTTGAACTCAGGGCCTGGGCACTGTCCCCGAGCTTCTTTTGCTCAAGGCTAGCCTTCTACCACTTGAGCCACTTCCGGCTTTTTCTGTGTATGTGATACTACTGAGGATTCGAACCCAGGGCTTCATGCATGCTAGGCAAGCACTGTACCACTAATCCACCTTCCCAACCCTGTAAGTTTCCTACTTGGGAATAAGCAGCAACTTTTTCTTCTAAGGGGAAGAAGTTGTTTATTTATTACTTACTTATATTTTATATAACTTATTATGTGTTTATACGTTTAATATAGTATTTATGGGAGAGTTGGTTGGTTAATTATTATTTATATATCTTATGTCATTTATTATGTATGTAGTGTGTCCTGGGGCTTGAACTCAGGGCCTGTGCCCTGTCCCTGAGCTCTTATCACTAAAGGCTGACCCTCTACTACTTTGAGCCACAGCTCCATTTCCAGTTTTCTGGTGGTTTATTGGAGATAAGAGTCTCCTGGGCTTTCCTGCCCAGACTGGCTTTGAACCACAATCCTCAGATCTCAGCCTCCTGAGTAGCTAGGATTACAGGCATGAATCACCAGCACCTAGCTTATTTATATTTTTTAATATTTATTTATGGAGGAGTTGATTGGTTATTAATTTATCTTTTATGTGCTATATTTACTATGTATTTATATAGTTTTAACATTTACTTATGGAGGAGTTCCTTTTATATATATATATATATATATTATTTATTTGTTTATTTATTTATCTTTGCCAGTCCTGGGGCTTGATCTCAGGGCCTGAGCACTGTCTCTGTGCTTCTTTTGCTCACGGCTAGCATGCTACAACTTGAGCCACGTATCACTTCTGGCTTGTTCTATGAATGTGGTGCTGAGGAATCGAACTCAGGGCATCATGCATGCTAGGCAAGTACTCTACCACTGAGCCACATTCCCAGACCTTATAATTTATTTTTATAATGCATATAATTTATGTGTATATTTTAACATATTTGTTTTATAATTTACTATTTATATGTTATTATGTGACTTATTTTGTTTGTATTTTTAGAATATATGTATTTATATGTCTTGTTTATTTTACATAACATACCCATTTATATATTTTTATATTATTGTTTTATTAAGTATTAAGGTGTTGTATGAGGGGTTAGCATTTTATGAGTCAGGTAATGTGTATAATTCTCTCTCTTTTTTTTTTTTTTTGCCTTGGTGTCAGTCCTGGGTCTTGAACCCAGGGCCTAGGTGCTGTCTCTGAACTTTTTTAGTCAAAGCTAGCACTCTACAACTTGAGCCACAGCTCCACTTCCAGCTTTTGGATGGTTAACTGGAGACAAGAGTCTCACTGGCATTCCTGCATGGGTTGGTTCTGAACTTCAGATCTCAGATCTCAGCCTCCTGCGTAGTGGGGATTACAAATGTGAGCTCCTGACCACTTGAGCCACAATGCCACTTCTGGCTTTTTCTGCTTATGTGGTGCTGAGGAATCGAACCCAGGACCTTGTGCATGCAAAGCAAGCACTCTACCAATAGCGACCTTTCCAGCCCCAGGAGTCATTTCTTTTAGGACCATCACCCCTTCCTTTGCTTTCCCTCGGTTTTCCCCTCCTGTCCCAGGGCACAAGTTGCATGGATCAGTTTTTTAAATTAATTAGTTTGTTTATGTGGTACCCAAGAATTGAACCCAGGACCTCATCCATGCTAGGCAAGTGCTCTACCACTAAGCCACATTCCTAGCCCCGCTTGGATCCGTTTTTACATAGTGTATATTGAGCACCTTGACTGTATTTGTCCACCTTTCCTCCATTTTTTTGCTCTGCTCCACAAGACAAAAAAAAAAAAAAAACCCAAAGCATACCAGCTGCTAGTGGCTCACACCAGTAATCCTTGCCACTCAGGAGGCTGAGATCTGAGGATCCAGGTTCAAAGTCAGCCCATTAAAGACCATGAGACTCTATCTCCAATGAACCACCTGAAAACCAGAAGTGGAGCTGTGGCTCAAAGTGGTAGAGTGCTAGCCTTGAGCAAAAGAGCTCAAAGAGAGTGCCCGGGCCCTGAGTTCAAGCCTGAGGACCGACATAAACAAAACCCCCCACAAACCTCACAATAAAAACCTATGTTTCCATTTCATAAAATATATTTAAATATATATTATTTGTGTATAATTTTTTTTAGATCTCTAACAACCCATGGTTGCTTCCCCCCTCAT